TAGTTTAAAGAAAATGGTGCTGCTGAGGATCTTAGTAACAGTCCTGGTAAGGACTGCACTGAGGTTTTCACCAGATATTACGGCCTGTTCCTATGGGAGTTGACAACACATTTTTAGAGTAGTGTGGCAATGCAGACTGCCAGATATACAACATGAGGTCAAGCCCTATTAAAATCCTATTAACACATGAAATAACATTCACCAAAAAGCACAATACTTTAGCATTTCCAAGATCTTAATTGCCAGGTTTGCTAGACCAGATGTCAGTAAGGTCTGCAATAAAACAATTTTTGAAACACTAATTTTATACCTGGCTCTCCTGTAATAGATGCTACCTGTTTGCTCTGCTTTGATGTGGGGCCAGGGTTGGGGGAGATAATGGAATCGGATTTAATGAGCAAAAAAGTCAGGTCGATTCTAGTGTGGCTAGATGGCTACTTTCAGAAGACCCACTTTGGAAAGTTGGCAGAATCCTGTATGACTTTGAAGAAGGGATTTGAAGGAAGAGAGAGATAGAAATAAACAGATTTTCTGGGGAGAGAGTTTCAGGTATAAGATATAAGAATGGAAATGGGATTCTTTAAGAGAGCAGGGTGGTAGAGGTAGAGGTGAACATGGATGCACAAGGGATTTCCAAAATAGATGCAGAGCCATTGACATAATGGAACAGGAAATGTCATGTTAGGAAATGTTGCCTTGACCCTTGCAGTCAAATTCAATTAACTTCTCTTCCAGCAGGGAAGTGGTTGATGGATCAGACACTGACGAAATCCTAGTGTGTTTTACTTACTGAAAGTTGGGGATCAACGTCTCGGTGCAACAGTCAATATTCTGTCTTGTGCTCACATAGGTGGGGTGCTGGAGTTTTGAGAGCTAGGGTGGACATGAGTCTTCAAACTTTCAGTGGCTTGCCAATCATCCACTTGCTCAGCCGTGCCATCTGCTGGCTGGTTTGGAAACAAAAGCTCTTGGGCTTATTCAGGGCAAGCGATTCTTCTTCTCCAGCCAACTCTGGCAACACCATCTTTGACCAAATGACATTCTCATGATATTTGAGGCTTAAAAGGTGATTGACATTCTCATGATATTTGAGGCTTAAAAGGTGATTCTGGGAGGGATTCTCTTTCTCTTCTCCCTGCCCCAATTATCCATTCTCTGATAAGAAAAAAAATGTACCATTTTAGTCAGGAAAAATCAGCTTAGGTCCTGGAAAAGTCTGTTGCAGTGACAATAACACCCTAATAAATGCTTTACGGACTAATGAATTAATAATGGTACAGGCAGTCCCTGGGTGAGACACAACTGAGTTACGAACAACCTGTACTCACGAACAAACTGCTATAAAGCCCGTTAATGTGAAAAATGTGGAAAATGGTCATCATCAGAGAGCAAGAGGATGGAATGGGAAGAGAGGGAGGGCCTCCAAAGCATGCCTTCCTGCCCTGCCCTTCTGGAGAGGGAGATCTCTCCAGCAATTCCTTGCTGAAAAGAGGAAGAACTGGTGAGTTTGGGGTGGTGGGTAGAGATAGTCGTGGGTTTCCCACTTTCACAGGAGCCCTGCACCCCGTGAATGTGGACGGCCGATTAGACATGATCCAACTTAAATTTCAGTTTTCTCAGAAATGGAACTCTTTTGTAACCTGGGGACTGCCTGCATAAGCTTTCATAGGCAAGCACCAGATGCATTCCAATCTACAAGGCTTACTATAGAGGCATTTCTGTAGGAAAATGTATATTGGGTTGTCTCCAGGATTTCCTTCCGTGGGATGTAGGGACCTTTCACAAGACAAACTGTCCTGCATGCAGAAATTCCCCCCTCCCCTACCACATCTCACAGCACTCAGCAGAGTCTCCTGACTCTCTGTAGCATTTCAGGAGCGAAAGAGTGTTGGATGGAATCTGCTTCTCTCAGTGCAGTTGATCTGGATGCAACCCAGTGAAAGGTCTGCACAGTGGGATGCTTGCATCCATTTCTCTTTTATGTGACCCTTGCTGTGAGTTCTAACTGCTTGTTATGTTGCCTTGCTGCCTTTAAGAAGTAGCCATAGGAATTGGCCAAATGAAAATGAAGACAATATGGGTGCATTTTATGGCGGGCCCATTTTGTGCTTGCGTGACATGCCAAACCTGCTGTTTGGAGTCATGCTGTTACAGAGGCTGTGATGGCTATGAGCTACCTCCAAGACGGGGAACTACATCCGAGATTTTCAGGACACTTGCATGGCCCTGAAATCCCTGTTGCTGGAGAAGAACCATGGAAGAGGACTGAGCTTCAAGTCTTCTCGTGGGCTTCCACTGGGGCCTCTGTTTGGCAGGATGCTGTATGGTAGGGGCCTTAGATCTGATCCAGCAAGACTGTTGTAAAGGAGCTTCATATTCAGAGGTTTTTATGTGGAGTCTGTCTTTTGCAGGAGTAGCTGGAGGAGAGTAGTAGAGAGTCAAAGCGCACTAGATAAAGTTACCTGAGCTTGGAGCAAGATGGGGAAGCCAGAAGGATATACAGGCCTATACAGGGCTGAGGCCCTATAGGTTTGATGCTGACATATCAGCCACCCTAGAGGTGGAAACACGTGAAATATTTCAGCTCATGCATGTAGCCATAAGCCCCCAGCTGATGTTTTGCCTTGGTCACATGTAAAGCATGTTCAAGTTCCTACAGGAGCTGGAGTGCTGGTAAGTTTTTTATGGCTAGATTTAGGAACATTTCAGGAAGCAGTGGGGTTGAAATTCACATTCCAGCTGCAGGAGATGGAATCACTGCTTTAGAACTGAATAGAAGTTAAATGTATTTCTTAAGGGCTTTAAAGAAATTGATTAAAGATTATATTTATGTACTGCTCAATAGCCCATGTGCTCTGGGCAGTTGTTATAAGTGGAAGTAGAATGTACCAAACAAGATGTTCACCTTTGCGGTTACCACATGGTGAAAGAAGCCCTCTATATCTGGAACTGGGAGGAAGAGCTTTTAGGGCTGACAATATGATTTTCCTGGTGAACTTACAAGCCCCTGAATATGTGCATTGACAAAATGAGCCTTTTTGGCTGCAGTGGAATCCAGCTTACTACCCCAGGACAGAGTGACACAGAGAGCCAGACCAGGTACATTTGGCTGCCTGGGACAGAATAGCAAATGCGCCCCCTGCCCCCAAACTATGCATAGATCTCAAGGCTGGCTGAGATGTTGGCACCTTTGGCAGATATTCTGCAGTATCTATCTTGCTTGCAGTGTAAAAATGTAATAATAACAGAAATAAACTGTAAAATGATTAATTGCCCTTTTATGACACCCAGAATCAGTTGCCAGAGGGAACCACATCAATTGCCTCATGATAGGGCCAGGTTTGAAGGGCAGTGGGAATTTATCTTTCTTTTGGGGACCTTATTGTAGATTCCAACCTCTGACTTGGAACTGCAGCTGTTGTGGGGCCTTGTCTTGCCAGCTTTCTGTTTGCTAAAAAGCTGGGTAAACCAGCCCACTCAGATGGAGATGCCACACTTCACTGGGGACAGTGGCATCAGACCAGAGGTTTGAAGAGAAAAAAAAGAAGTTTTAAGAAGCTTTTAAGAGAGTGCTGGGTGTCTCTCTCTCTCTCACACACGCGTCTTGTCTTAGCTTCTTGGAAAATATTGCTGTTGTGCCTGACACCTCAACAGAGGCGGCACCTCACGAGGAAGAGTCAAATGCCTAAAGAGAGAATCAGACATCAGAACAGGAGGACTTATACTTGAGGCCCTGTGGCCAAGTGACCCTTCCACACCCTGGCTTGGGAGTAGCTGAACAGGTAGCCGTCTCTTATCCTGACCCTTTACCCCTTGGGCAAACAACCACGCCTCAGTCTGACCACGAGGGCCCCGAGGGAAAAGACACTACACGTTCTGCCCCAGAAGAACGTGGGTAGGATACCCCCTTCCTCCTGATGCTGAGTCTCCTGAACAAGGTACAGAAGACGCAGGAGGCAGGATAGATTTGACTTGCATGACTCTTAGACTTAGCTTATGCCGATTGGAACAAAAGGAGGCTTTGTCCCACCTCAGGGGGGAAAGGTGGGACAAAGAAAGTTAATCCCACGTGGGTTCCCTGAGGAACATCACTAAGAAGACAGCAATTAACTTGTAAAGAGCATTGCAGTAGAGCTTATCCGTAGCTCATAAATCTTGTAGAAAAGTAGCAATAAAAGACTTTAGTTTTACTGCCTGCATAAGTGTGGGTCATTTACAACTGTGAGATGAGCTGACACCTCACAACAATTGCCTGGTCAACTCTGCAGTGAGCATTGGAAGAGTAACCAGCTCTTTCTCTGGGTACAGCCAATTCTTCATATTTGTCCTGTACTCTATTACTATTTTATTTTATGGAAGCCCAGCAACAATTCCTACACTTATTTATTTCATTTCTATACCACCCCATAGCTGAAGCTCTCTGGGCAGTTTAAAACAATGTATAAAGCAAAGCAACAAAGTTTAGTTATTTATAAATGCTTTAAATAAGTGTAGAGGCCTAGCTATAGTTCAACAACTTCTAAATTTTCTACCTTGAGATATCAGATTCAGTGTCAACCACTGAGAAGTTCTTACCCTCTTGCTGCAGAATTCCAGCACTTTCTGAATTTTAAGGACACATTTTGAAGGTTAAATACGCTCATTTCCGTGGTGCATTGTCCAGGTCTATTTGAGCATTGTTTCTTGATTTAGCAGTGGTTTGGTGCTGGGGAGGATCTGTGTAGATAAAGAGCTGCCTTCTAGGGAAGTTTATCAGCCAGTACTTGTCTTTCCAGTGAGGAACTAGGCAGAAGCTTCCAAGAAAGTCCAAGGCTTCCCAGAACATAATTTGAAAAACACTGTTACAGACAATGATAAGCATTTGTATCAAATCCAAGTTCTTCCTGGATATATTTTTTGGTGTGTGGTTGCAATAGCTTTTCTGTGGTCTTGTTTTGGTATAGCAGCCTGGATCTTTCTTTGTATCTCTTGAAGAACTCCTGATTTTTTCATTTGTGCAGTTGCCTGTGGATTATGGGTACAACTGCCAGCACGGCTCAGCAGACAGTGGCAACAGCAACCTTTGAGAACGTCCACGGCAACGGAACCATGGAGGATCGCACTTCCCTCAGCATTCACTCCTTCCAGACAGTTGGACTCCACAACAACAAAGCCAAGTCAATCATCACCAACAAGGTGGCCCCTGTGGTCATTACGTGAGTTGCTGCAGTCTGTCCTGTTTTTGCATAGCTTTGAACCTCTTCTGCATTGTGGAGCTCCTTTAGCTTTTAAAACACCTGTGGTTGTTGTCCCAGGTCTTTCTGCTTAAAAGACTACAACTGAGGTGGGCAACATGAGGTCCTCCAGAGGCTGCTGGGCTGCAGTTCATGTCCTCCGCCACCATTGACTATTCTGGCTAGGACTGATGGGAGTTGCAATCCATAAGCTTCCCACTTCTGGATTAGATGCAGGGAAGGTGTTTGGCAGCCACATCTGCATACACTCTGGGCTGAGCACACACTATTTTGAATTCATTTTTAGCTGCGGGCCCCCACAACTCATCAGGACATTACCATGGAAGGTAGGGGGAATTTCTTAATTTGCTTGTAGCCACAGATGCTTCTTGCAAAAAGTTCTTTATTGGCCAAAGCATTTTCCAGAAGCACGGACACCCAGAAGGGATCTCTGAACAGGCACAGAGCAGTTTGTTGAACCCAGTCAAGTATTTGCTTCTAGGAACTCTCCTTATGAGTATGCTTTGGCCCCATCCTTCACAAAACAGGCCTGGGAACATAGGCCCAATCAACTGATGGCCAGGATCCTGGAACCCTCTGTCTCCCTCACGGCTCAGGTCTTATCACAAGACCAGGGCAAAATCCTCCACCCTGACATCAACCCTCTAAGCCTCATGGCCTGGTGCATTACATCATAAACCTTGCGCCTATTATTGCATGGCTTCTAAACGTTTGGCCTCCAGTTCCCACCCGTCCTACCCAGCATAACCGAAGGAGAGGTAGACCACAACATGTGGAAGGCTACAAGGTGGCATAGAAGGGCACAGAAAATAGATGTAACCCACATAATGAAACCCAATTTTGTATAATTGTACTGATATCCATGAGAGGCTGTTATATTAAGGAAGCAGAGTTTTGATGCTTTTGCAGCCTAATGGATTATTGAAACATGCAGCTAAAACATGAGGCATAGAGATTCTGGTGCTGCAGAACCCTGAATGGTTGGTGGATTGCACTGTATAAAAATTATTTTCATGCCTTCACTCAGGAGTGGTACAGCTATAGCAAGGGTAGTGATCACATGACCTTCCAGGAGCTGTTGGCTGTAACTCCCATCATGTCTAACCAACATGGTCAATGGTGAGAGAATGGAGCGGTGTGATTCAGCATTGGAAGGGCCCATGTGATTTTTATGAGCAGGTCAGTTGGCTGTAATGGCTGGTATTGGTGACAGTGCCTGCACGTCACTTGTTTTCCATTGTCCTTTCCCCCGTGTGTGTGTGTGTGTGTGATGGAGCTTGCAACCTGGGAAACTGGTGTATCATCCTTACATAGAACAGGAATTAAGAAGATGGAATGTTATGGTTCTGATTTAATCGAAAGCAATTAAAACTACTTGAGGAAAAACTCTCTATTTTCCCCTGTGATCGCCTACAGCTACAATTGCAAAGAAGAGTTTCAGATTCATGATGACTTGTTGAAGGCCAGCTATACTGTGGGGCGGATTACTGAGTCTACTCCGGAGCACTACCTTGTACAGGTGAGCACAGTGGACTTGGCTCTGGGCATGCTCTGTTGCCGAGTCGAGATTGAGGCATATAAATATTAAATCGGCCTTGCTGAATCAGACCAGAAGTTCAGCCTAGGCGGCCTCCAGAGGACACAGAGCATGAGGGCAGTTGTCCGCCTCTGCTCTTGCCCCCATCCAGCAAGTGATATTTGGGGCATTCCTCCTCTGAATGTGGAATTTCTGTTTTGTGACCAGGGATAAGAGCTATCTCTGCTCTGTCAAATGCCTTTTAAAAGCCATCTTTTAAAAGTATAGTGTCCTTGCTACGCTTTATGGAAGGACGTCTATGATTTGTTTTTGTGTTCTGTGAAAAAGTCAGTTGCTTGGGTTCTTTTTATCCTGTCTCCTTTTCCATATTCAAATAATATGTTGAGCTTCTCCTTGGTTTTACAGGGTAAATATTTTATGGTCCGTGATGTATACAGCAAGTTAGATGTCTTAAATACTACCAGCACCTGTGGGGCCCCAAACTTTCGTCAGGCCAAAGGTGGATATTCAGTATTTGGAATGGGCCAGCCAAGCTTCAGTGGGTTCAAGCAGGTCCTGCAGAAACTGCAGAATGATGGTCATAAGGTCTGTACATGGACGAGTGTGATTCAGATGCACCTCTTTGTGTAGGCAAGCCAGAATGGGAATGAGAGTTACAAGACAGATCCTTGGATACAGCTTGGATGTAGGCAGGTGGGGTTTGCTTCTCACATGTTTCTGAAAGCCATGGTAGACCTCCATGTATTTCCTGGTATTCTATGCTTTCTTCTATAAGTTCAGAGCTACACTGTGGTCTCAATGAAACTTGCAAGACTGCGAGAGGATGAGGCTTCCTGGTGATCTGCCAAATCCTGCAGTTGCTACATCACTGTGGGACTGTTTGGAGCAGATCAAATTGCTGATGCCAGGCCTTAAAGGACCACGGGATTCCCCATGCTCCCATTTTAACACAACATGTGAAGGGGCCAACCAGCTTCACTGCCCTGTATGTACCTTGTTGTTGGTGTTACATTTCTATCATGCCTTTTTCTTCTTGGAAGAAGCTCAAGATAGCTTACATGGTCCTCTTCCTCTCCAAGTTATCCTCACAACGACCTGGTGAAGTAGTTTAGAATGAAGGAGAGTCCATGCCTTGCCCAAAGTCATCCAGTGAGCTTCCTGGCTGAGTGGGAACTAGAACCCGGATCTGCTGAGTCCCTGTCCGATTCTGTAACCACTGTGCACACTCGGCACAGAACTCCTTCATGCCTGGGAGATCCTGGGTGAATCAGGGTCCCTCCTCATATGTAGAGGAATTCTGTGTATGTATCTCTGTGCCTGTATAGGGCTCTTTGCATGGCCACTGATTATGTGTTTGGCACTCATATTGGCCTCTGGTGGAGCTATGCAAAGTGACCTACATGACCTCCATCTTATTTTCAAGGTATGGTGGCATCAAGTGAACGCAGGCACGCACATCCTACCTCGTGCTTATGTATCTGTTAGATTCCATTTTTTAATGCACATGTGGACTTTCAAAAGAATGATGGCATTTCAATATGTTTCCAGTAGAGCATTTATTATTGCAGTACTAGGTCAGGTGTATCAAACCTCTTTCTACTCAAGTGCCACACTCCATTTTGAAGAAGCTTGCTAAGTTCCAACTGGGCAAAAGGGAGTGGAGCCAGGGAAAATGGGGGGACCCTGTGGAAGCTGCGTCGTAACAAGGGCAGATTTGGCCCCTGGCCCTGAGGTTTTGCAAGCCTGCTCTATAAGCTTTGGTTGGCATGAGCTATTTGGTTTGCCCT